ACGTGTTATTTTAAAATGCCAAATAATGGGACAAATGGAGCTTTGATCTAAGAAAAGCTGACTTTGATTCAGCCGCAGCCGGCAAATAGGCGAGTGACAGTCACGGGGCTTCTGTCTTTGAACACAGTTGAGATACAGGCCGTCCGAGAGACTGGATCAACTGGCCGTTACATACGTAACGGATCATTAGTGGAGTTTGCTCTTTGTAATTTTAGATTCCGTTTGATGTGTGCATTAGCATGCTGAGGCCCTGTGTATAACCAAGGGTTAAGAATGAGTACACTGGTTTTGTCTTGACATCGCCCTCATTACAATGACATCTGAAAGGAACATGATTTTCTGTGGGAACGCTTGACTTTCTGGCAACGAACGTGTCATCAGCTCAAGGTGAAACTGTATTCAAACAGATTCCTCACACCGACAGTGTTTGGGGAGCTGTGTCAGCGGGAAAATTGATAATACCCTGTTTCCCCGAAAATAAGACAGTGTCTGATATTCATGTTTGCTTCCAAAGATGCGCTAGGTCTTATTTTCAGGGGGTGTCTTATTTTTCCATGAAGACGAATACAGTACACATTGATTGTTTATTGTTTGATTAAGTAGGACCTTGCACTTCCTGTCTGCTCCGGCTGTGCTGTGGCCAACAGTGAGCTGCGTGGCAGCGTCCACCACTACGGTCCAGAGTCCAGAGTTACGGTAGCTGTGGGGGGGCTTCTTTGCAAGGTCTTATTTTCGGGGGATGTCTTACTTTCGGGGAAACAGGGTAGTGCAACAGGCATATCCCCCAGAGGGGTGATGGACATTGCTGTACTTCTTTGTTTATATGAGTTTTTGCTTTCCTGCTTGTAGTTTGCTTTTTTTGTGATTTTGGTTCTTTTCTTTTCTTTCCTTTCAGGATGTGTGCGCTCTGGTTTTTTGGTTGCTGATTTGCTTATGGCTGTTATGGATGCAGTTGATATTATAAGACAGTCAACCCATACGCAAGCAAATAATACAAATGCAGACAGCAGTAAGCATTATAAAGAAGCAAAATATAGGGAACTGTGTTCCAAATTCAACTTATTTTAATACGTTTGCTTTCCAAACTGAGGTAAGAATACCTCCCAAGGATTATGGTAAGGTCAGAGGGTTTTCAAATCAATAAATGTATGAATATAAATTGAAAGATATATGGCAAAACAATTTTATAGTCTGATATGTGGCCCCAACATAAAGTTTTATCCAAAATTAGTGTACAGTGAACCCTCGTTTATTGCGGTTCATCGGTTCTAGACCCTACTGTGATAAATGAAATTCCGCGAAGTAGGATTCCTTATTTGTAAATCAAATATTTTCGTAGTTAGAGCATAGAGGACATGAAAAAACACCGTTTAGTCACCATGACACTCGTATGACCCAATTTATTAAACGAAAAAGGGAAAATACAGTAAACCATTTTGGACGTTACAATGATCATTTATTATTTATTATATTATTTATGGCATCAAGCGTGTACAGTATGAGCCAATCAGTGGGGGTAATGACAGAGCATGCGCTGTTACGCAAAAACCGTGATAGAGTGAAGCCGCGAAGTGGCGAGGGTTCACTGTAACTTTTAAATGGAAAACAAAAACTGTCGTGCTTGGGTTGCTACATTTTCTACTGCAAAGCTACTTCTTTGACCCGAGAATGCTTAAAGTACAATCTGAGGCTCACCGACACAGTACTTACGTGCAGCAAGCATGAGCACAGAAATTCCATCTGAAGAAATGGTACCAATGCTACACAAACCATTCCAGAAGACAGAAAACGATGGCAAACTGCCAAGCTCCTTTTATGACGTGAACATAATTCTGATATGAAAACCAGGGAAAGGGGTACCGATGACAAGGATCTACATGTGACCTCCTCCCTGGGGGACGGACAACCGAAAAGTGGGTGAAGGGAGATGTCGGGCAGTGTAAGATATGACAGAATACCAATTTATAAACTATCAAGGGTTCATGAAGGAGGGGAGCAGGGAGGGAGGGGGTAAAATGAGCTGATGCCAGGGGCTTAAGTGGAGAGCATATGTTTTGAGAATTATGAGGGCAATGAATGTACAAATGCGCTTTACACAATTGATGTGTGTATGGATTGTGATAAGAGTTGTATGAGCCCCTAAGAAAATGATTTTTTAAAAAAGAAAGAAAACTGCAACACCTCAAATGAGAAAAAGATGAACAGACAACATAAATAGTTCACCAAAGAAGATATAAAGTAATCAATAAAAATGAAGAAATGTTTGTGATCACTAATTAAGAGAAGCTAATCAAAGCAACAATGAGATACCTCATATACCTCATACTTGCATTGATAACAAAATTCAACAAAACAAAGTAAAAAATGCTGGAGAAGGTGTGGAGAGACGGGCGCCCTCACACATTGCTGGTGGGTCTGCATGGCAGTTCCTCAAACAACTGGAATGGAAGTGCCAAGACGGGCCAGCAACCCCTTTTCTGGGTGTACACCCTAAAGTAGAACCAAAGCACAGTCAGATATAGGCACGCCCCCATTGATGGCAGCCTTGTTCACAAAAGCAAGACGATGGAAGCAACCTAAATGCCTACCAGTGGAAGAATGGATAAGCGTTGGTGCATACACACAATAGAATATTATGCATCACTAAAGAATGATGATGAAACTGTGAAGCACCTCCTGGCATGGAACCTTGTGCTGCGTCAAGTCAGTCACCCACAAAACGACAAATAATGTATGAGACCACTGTTAGCAAAAGAAAACCCAGACAACACATTTCTTACTAAAAGAAACAAACTTTGATGGTTGCATGGGGGAGTGGGGAGAGGGGAGAGGGAAAGTGAAGCGATAGGTGAGAGGGCAGATAGGTGTCAAGAAACCAGGGGGTAACCAACATTTCCCCCCAAAGCTATGTATTTAATTTTTTTACAAAACAACCTTATCACCTTCAAAGTACTCTTCATTACACTTAATACATTTGTTAAATCTGTGATTCCATTCATTGAAACATTTTTCAAACTCATCTATTTGGATGGCTGACAGCACCTCCCTTTTTTTTAACTTCTCTTCTATGTCATCAAATGACTGCCCTTTCATGTCCCTCTTCATTCGCACAAACAAAAAGAAGTTGCATGGAGCGAGGTCAGGTGAGTAAGGTGCGTGGGGCAAAAGAGGCATGCTGGGTTTTGCCAACAACTGGTGCACGGAGATGGCTGTGTGAACAAGTGCCTCTACATTCACTCCACTCAATTCCTTTTCCAACCAAGGTAGGCTTTCTACACTCAAAGAGTTCCAGTCCCCTCTCTACTATGTGACAGCAGGGTTTTGTTTTGTTTTTTAGAAAAGCTTTTACGTGCATTTTTATTGTGATAAATATGTATGCAACAAACTATGTAATAGTTCAGGAATCTTTACATGATCGTTACAATATGTTCAGCATACTGTTCAACCTCCATCCCGCCCAGTCCTATCATTGCCCTTGCCATATGCTCAGCGTCCAAATAAATCCTATCAGTGTCCCCTGAACATAGGATTTCGTTTTGATGAAATTTAAATAGTGATATTGTTACCTTGTCAAGTCTGCTGTAAGATTCCATTGAAGTGGTCCCAATGTGGACGACAACAGGCACCGGTACCCTCTAGTCACTTACAGCACAAGCTCGTTCCACATGAAGGGGGTTAAACTCGTGCGGAGCATAATGGCCAAATTTGTTAAACTTCAAAATGTCCTTAAAATGTTTTTTCTTTCCTTTTTTTTTGTTTTTGAGGTTACACAACATTGTGAGTTTATTGAAAACCACTGGGTTTACAATGATGTTTCATATTGTTGGATTTTACCACACTAGAAAAGAATACAATCTATTAACTTAGTTTACTTTTCTACCAGATTTTAATTTGTCTTTCTAGCTTACTCCACATTATAATTCATCTAGAGTTTGAAATTTTTTTATTAGTTGGGATTTAATACATAAAACATGTCACTCCATATTTCAAACATGGCAAGTAGAATTGTACAATTGCTACCACAATCCGTTTCCAACTATTCTTTTTCTACCTGGACTCCTTGACATTGTCTCCCTTTTACCTTACCTCCACCACTGTATGACTCCCCTCGAGCCCCTTATTCTACTTCCTGTCCCTGCAGGTTTATCAATCCCGGGCTTCAGATAGGAATACAGAAAAGCATATAACAGTTTCAAGAAGGTGACCTACGTTGACAGAACATCTCTACCATGAACGAACAAAAACCAAAACAACAATACAAACCCAAACTACAGCAAAATGTGGAAACCAGATCCAGTCCAGCCTGCATCACAGGGGCATCTGCTGAAAACGTCTCAACTGTTCAGGTCAGGTTTGTGCCTTTGATTTTCTATACTCCTCTCTCGCCAGCATTCTGGGTAGTGACCACTTTCCTCCCCTCCCTCAATTTCAGATAGGAGTTCTCTGCAGGCTTATTTCCTATGTCGTTCCACAAACGACTCTCGGGCTCCCAATGTCATTCATTACCTTCTGCACATTGTAGTCCACAATTTAGAGTCTGATACTGATCCCTCCTTTGACTTCGGGTTGTGTTTTTTTGAGACGGTAGCCATTAACTGCATGTCCTGGGATCACCAGGACCTGCCTTCCTCTAAAATATGCATTGAAACATGTGCCTGTACCCTGCACAAATACAGGTGTATGTGACAGGGTTGACCCGTAATGTACTTATGCGTACCAGTCACACATGTGCAGAGAGCAGCTACAGTGAACCCTCGCCACTTCGCACTTCGACTTCCGCGGCTTCACTCTATCGCGGTTTTTGCGTAACAGCATGCACTGCCTACACCCGCTCCTTCAGAGGAAAAAGACGGCGACCCACCTGTAGAGTACATCCCTTAAGTCATTTCATAGGCTATTGATTACAGTATTTGTAAGAACTATGTATAATAATACTGTATGTGAAATATGTAATACTGTAAACTGGATGCCATAAATAATATAATAAATAATAAATGATAAAAAAAAAAAAAAAGAAACATGTGCCTGTAAGGATGATCCTATTTGGAGGCAGGGTTTTATTTGTTATGTCAATTACGTCCTAAACGTAATTACTTTGCAGTTATAAAAAGAGCAGAATACAGAGAGACATATATACAGGGAAAGACAGAAGCCATGTGAGGAGCTTCTACAAGCCAAGGGGCCAAGCTCAGAGCTGCCAAGAAAGGACTCTTGTCCAGAGTCAGTGCCTCATTTGGACATTTCAGAACTGTGAAGACACAATTTCCATTCTTAAGTGTCCAGCCCGATAAGCTGTATGTTACAGCACCCCCTAGAGGATGGAGACAGTCACTAAGCATAGTCAGACACAGGACAACGGCCCCAAGTCTTCAGGAAGGAGCCTTCTCCGTCATTCTCGATCCAAGAATCTGAGCACCTCGTGCCCCTCGGGCCTTTCAGATACAAGTGAAAACAATCTAACAATTAAAATATAATAATTAGTCGATACGACAAAGATAGGAAAGATTAATAAATAAAACGGATTCCTTTTTATGAGTATTATGGAGAACTGGATGCGGGGGGAGGAGGTGGGACTTTCATAGTTACCTGATACCTGTTGACTTTGTATTTATATGAGGGGGCTTCAAAAAGATAATGGAAAAAGTCCACTTTTTAAAAGTTCACTTTTCGGGGATGGACAACAGAAAAGTGGGTAACGGGAGACATCGGACAGTATAAAACATGAAAAAAAAATGTATAACATCAAGGGTTCATGAGGGAGTAGGGTGGGGGAGGGAGGAGAAAAAATGAGGAGCTGATACCAAGGGGTGAAGTAGAAAGCACATGTTTTGAGAATGATGAGGGCAACAAATGTACAAATGTGCTTGACATGATGGATGTTTGTATGGACTGTGATGAGTTGTACAAGCCCCCAATAAAGCGATTTAAACAAACAAAAAAAATAATAATGAAATAAAATTTCACTTTTCCATGAACTTTTTGAACCCCTCTCGTATATACAGTATATACAGTGCAACAAGCCCTTCATCCAAAACCTTTGGCTTTAAATATATTTCAGAATACTTTTGCATTTTATTAAGTTGGTAGAATGTATACACCATACATCATATAATCCACCCAGGGCAATCTGAAATAAAACACCAAAACCCAACCCAACCCAGGGCCGTCACGACTGCGACTCACAGTGAGACGACAGAGACGTTTCCACGAGTCTGTAAATCTTTATGGAAGCAGACAATCTCCACTTTCTCCCAAGAAGCAGCTGGTGGATTTGAATAACCAACCTCTTATGGTAGCAGTTCAAAGCTTAACCGACAGTGTCGCGTACAAATGAACTGCATTGCAATTCCTTTAGCTGCTTAGGATATGCACACGCCGTAGCCAGCATCTGCACTACTAGGTGTGTCCAACGGAGATGACTACTCATGAGCATCAAAACAAGTGCAAAGCTGTCCACCGCTTTATTTGCCATCACCCAAACTCCTCCCGGCTCAGGGAGTCAATCAGAGACCGGGAGGGCTCCCTAATGTCCTGCCCTGTTTGCTCTACTTGTAAGACTATCACCATTACAATACCAAGCAAGTATTTGAAAGTCAGAGACGTGGCAAAGCACTCAACATGATAAATCCCATATCAGGAACACTGTGTCAACATCTGAGTTAGGATCTCTCCGTGGATTGAAACGCTAAGGCAAATTCTGCTGGTCCTGACTCCATGCAAGCTAATCAGGACCAAATGCACAACCAGAGCTGACAGCAATATGGAAAGTAGATTTACACAGTCTCATTATTTGTCACACATTAAATAAAGCTCAATGACACAACCCCCAAAACGTTTTACAATTATTGGCTGAAAAAGTAGTCGTTATTTGAGAGGCTGTAAATAAAGTAGCAATTCAAATGGAACTTTTTAGGCACGGCAGCGAAAATTTGAAAGACAGATCGGTTGGATTCTCTAGCTAGATAACCTGTTTCCCTGAAAGTAAGACATCCCCCGAAAATAAGACCTACTTACAGTTTTGCCTCTCGCTGAAATATAAGGCATCCCCCAAAAAATAAGACCTCCCTGAAAATAAGGCCCCCTGAAGTTACTGTAACTCTGGACTCTGGACCTTAGTGGTGGGCACTGCCGTGCAGGCTCACTGTTGGCTGCAGCGCAGCCGGAGCAGACAGGAAGTGCGATGTCTCTTTTAATAAAACAATGTGTACCGTATTCTTCTTCATGAAAAAATAAGACATCCCCTAAAAATAAGACCTAGTGCATCTTTGGGAGCAAAAAATAATATAAGACACTGTCTTATTTTCAGGGAAACAGTAGTATTGTGCCTTTTGGAAACACTGAAGAATCCTTTTGGCCACTTACCTATCGATGGTTTCCTTTGTATCCTACCAGGTGATCCAGGTCTTCTCTTAAAGGATCGTAGCCTTGTTCCTTTAAACAACGGAGTGCCCAGAAAAGCTGGTCCCCTGGAGGGAATTCATCCCAGGGAACCCACTCCCAACCTGGAAAAGGAAGAAACCCAATCTACTTACTGAGCTGAAAGGGAACAAAGGGTAGAATTTGCTATGCTAACCCACGAGTAGACACTCACTGAATTTAAAAATGATTTGTTACTAACAAAACAAATTGCAATCGTGAGGCGGTGCATTAGCTTGAGAATGAAATCATATACGGTACTCAGAACAAAGATCTCAAGATCTTAAAGATCATTTAAAACGTGCTGGTATTGGAACATGACGTCAACTTTACAAAGGCCACACAGGCCGTGGTAAAATTCTGATTTGGTATCATTCAGTGTGTATTGAAATAGTTACCAAAGACACACACACACGTGTCCTTGGGTAGTGCAAGGGGTTAAGCGCCAGACTACTTGCTGCAGAATTTGGCAGTTCCAACCCACCCAGGAGTCCGGCGCTCGAATTCTGAGAGGACACAACCCTGAAAACTCTATGGGGCACTTCTCCTCCGCACGCAGGAGGTTGCCGTGAGTTGTCACCAACTTGACAGTAACCAACAACAACAAACACCACACACGCATACACGTACGCCTTTAAATTATACACGCTATGCTCGCCCACAAAATGCATTTTTATATCGTTCTCTTACTTTCATTTTTCTCAGGTTCAACGTTCTTTGGTTCTGAACCATGAGTCAAGTCCACCTCTCCTTTCATCAGTATAGTGACATAATGGTAGTTTTCTTTCTCAATGAAGGAGTTCACGACCGAGGCAAAGCGCACGTTTTTCAGGTAAAGCGCTGCTTCTTCCAAGGTTTCCCTTTGAGCACATTCTTCCCAGCTTTCACTGGAAAACAGAAACACACCAGACAACAGAAACTGTATTCAATTCTATGTAGATACCCAGCCCTCCCTTTCAAGCTTCTAGCTTGAAATTCTTAGCTAGAAACTTCTGGGGTAAAGCAAAACGTGCCAGCCCTGGTTCATGCTTCAAAACAACGCACCGACCTTACCTATGGCACGCCATCCTCTATCTTTCTATCTGCTTCTCTGAAGAGCAAAAGGACTGCATATCGAGCACAGAGATGGCTGATGGAGCCCATTCCACACGACTTGGCTTGCCTTGAGACTGCAACCGGGAGGCGATTCAGTTCGGTCTCAGTAAAGGGGAAGACTGTGGTGACCACTGGGCTAACTCTTCTTACATGGTGTGTCTCAACCCCACAAAGAGGTTCGAGAAAATTGGCAGCACTTAACGGGTTCTGAATGTGCAGTGACCAAGAATTAAAACTCAAACCCACTATGAATCCAAGGTGATTGGAGCAGTGCTTGCCCATGTTACAAAATCCTCAGGTGAACGGGGTTGGGAGTGGGAAAAGTTTCAGCCCAGAACTAAATGTAGGTTTCAGTTCCCACTCTTTGATTTTTTACCTAAATAACTGGGACAAGTACAAGAGGATATTACTTTCTCATGGGGTTGCTATGGGTGTCACAAGATGTAGAATGTGTATTTCTGTGGTCTCAAATTTTTCCATTTAAGCTCCAAAACTGAGTACAGTAAGCACCTCTACATTCTTACACATACAACAAAATAGCACACAGATGTGCCCTGAGCTCAAGGAAGTCGCCCAGCCAATGTAGACCAGATTACCCTGTGACTCACTCCACCCAGTCTGCTTACAAGCCTTCTTTGAGAGAGAGGAAAGTTCTGAATTTTCAGCACCCTGTAGGAATGCCTGCTTCCTTTCCTCTCTCTGAGAGCCCAACTCTGTGCCCAAGCCAAGGGAGGGGCCTTCCAAGCGAATCGGTGATAGAGATAAGGCATGTCAGCAAAAAAGGGACACTGGTGTGTCATTCCCCTTGAGGTACAGGAATCCAAGGTCTGCCCAGGGCATCAGAGCAGAGGTGGAAAACGTCGGAAACGCGTCCCTGGGAGTCTGGGGATACATGTGAATGAGGGCTGACGCTTACTTAACTCCCAGGGAGGTAGGAGCTGTCTACAGTAGCTGGTGATGGCACAGTAAAGGAACAGGCAGCATTGAAGCCTCATTTCCAAGGCCAGCTTTCCTGTGGCCACAAGGATGCAACAGGATGGCATTGTAATCTAGCAGGAGCTCCAGCAGAAAGAAGCTGCAGATGCTATGCAAGCATTAGGAGGGAGGGGTGGAGGTATTACTAAAGGCCAGGGAACTGTGCCACATGGGGATTTCTTAGGAACCCGTAAACAGGTCCTAAGCAGAGGGTACTCAATGGATGAATCATAGCAGTCCCAGTCATGTAAAAATCTGTCCCCTCCCCTAACACACAGAAGGAACTGGAGGACCAGCAGAAGGGGAAGGGAAGCCATAAAGCACGAACGCGCACCTCCGTTCCCCACTGCAGGAAAGACATCATAGAGAAGTCTGGCTAGTGCTCATCAAGGATCAGTAAGTACAGCGTGTGTCTCTCTGGACAACTGAGTTCTTACTACTTGCTTATGTGAAAACTATAAGCTCATTACAGCTCTAATTTTGAAGAGCATTCCATCCACATGTACTCAAAGATCAGAAGAATTTCCTATTTTCTAAAGCACAAAGTCTGATTAAAAGGTTCGAATGAAGTTTTTACTTCTAATCACTGATTGATAGAGGTAAAGAAGAGGGGGGGAAAACCTCTGTAATCGGGTTTTCAAGGTTGTAAATCCGAACGGGAGTAGATAGCTTCATGTTTTTCCTCAGAGTGGCTAGTGGGCTTGAACTGTCCACCTTGCCATTGAAAGCTCTATGGAGCAACAGTTCCACTCTAACACATGCGTGGGGTGGGCAACTCACAATGAATGTGATAGCGACTGGTTTGGTGGTAAGAGAGACAAGGAGGCTTCACAAAGTTCATGGTTAAATTCTGTTCCTTTTAATTCCATGTGTCCATGAACTTTCTGGAGCCCCCTCGTTCGTATCAAACTAATTTGATGTCCGATAGTATGTCTGAAATTTCCTTGAAAATGTTCCTGTAAATAAAGTGTGTTTTGGAGTAGGGGTGGGGGGTATGAGGTAGTACAGGTGTCAGGGTACAAAAGAAACCCCAAATCGCAAAGTTTAACGTAAGGAGAACATGTATTAAGCCTTCAACAGGAAAAAGCAAGAGAAAGACACATATACATCATCTGGATGAGGAAGATCGTTAGCACAAGGCCGTAATGGCGTCCAAGGGTATGCTCCGATCCAGTGACTTCAAAAGCACAGGGGGGGGCAAACTGTCACAAGCATAACTGGTAGAAAATCAATATATCAGTTACAGGAAGGACTAGAGAAGTGGGACCAGGACCATGAGTGGCTCACATACGTTATGTTGGAAGAGCTTACAAGATGGGTTCAGGATGACTCTTGATCATGAGCCCCTTTGAAGACAACTCATTGCCATGAGTCAAACCTGGTTCAAAGCGACCCTAGCACCCGCAGTTCTAAGGAAGGCACATCCAGGCAAAGTCCCTAAACACTAAGCTCCTTCTCCCTGGACAAGCTGGAGTGACAGCAATCTACTCTTTCTTGCACTCTGAGGCAAAGCTATTCACGTATCTGGTTAGTATACGTGCTGCCGAAGCGAGCACTCACGTATCTGGTTAATGGGTGTAAGGAACTCAAAGGATGTTGAATTTTATGTTGACACATAAGTGGAATTTGGGGCCTCCACTGTAAACTATATAGCCTTCAGCAAATTCGGTACTCAGAAATTTAAACTCTAATACACAAATGAAGGAAACACGTGGGTGATGGGTACAAGAGAATTTATTGATCATTTTCTCTGCTTTTATGTTTGTTGGGAATTTTTTAATAATAAAGGGGGGAAAGTGCCAAGTCTGAATGCTTTCGCTGGTTTTTAAGCGTATTCTCAGAATCCACTTATTAGCACACCTTCAGTCTGTCTTCACCCCTTAGCTAACTTTTGTCAGTCTGGCATGTCATCAAATCACAGAATGCTACAGTAGAATGGGAACTTGGGAGAACATTGCATTTAAAGATGAAGAAACTCCCAATAAAATGATTTACAATAAATAAAGATGAAGAAACTAAATTCCTGAGATCCACAAGCCCCCTTTGCGGCCTTTCCTCTTGGCTCCCACCTCCTTCCATTCTTCACAAAACCTCCCTTCCTGGAACCTGGAGCTAAGAAGAGGTGGCACGAAGTGCGCCTGAGACGGAATCCTATTAGAACTGGTTGAAATCGCTGCAGCTTGGCGGCACACTTACCTTCCCGAGAAACACAAGGCCCCTCACTGGCCTTGCCACTACCGTTTCCCCCATTTTAAATCAGTCCTAAATACGCAAATGGTTTCCCTCCAGAAATCCGATGGACACTATATAAAACTTCCCTGTTAGACACTGTATAAAAAACGAAAGTTGCCCCCTGTCGGGGTAACTGGACCTGAGAATTGTCCTTCAGAGTCTATGGGCTGCACACCCACTATTTTGACATGTAAAAGCCACTAAAACGGAAAGTCACAGATTACATGTGGAAGGGTTGTCGTGCAATTAATTTAGGAAGTCAGATGTATCTATTAAATACGTGTTCATGTAGTTAAATCTCATGGAAACCCAGTATCACCACTCTCAGCACTGGTCCTGAAGGGATCATCCAGCCTGGATTCCCTGTGTTTCCAGTTCCTATCTGTACCAGTGTCCATCCTCCAGTCCAGCCGGATTTGTAAGGTAGAACTGGGAGGGTGTACGGAGGGTGGGTTGGAAAGGGGGAACCTATTACAAGGATCTGCATGTGGATCTGCATGTGACCTCTTCCCTGGGGGATGGACAGCAGAAAAGTGGGTGAAGGGAGACGTCGGACAGTGCAAGATAGGGCAAAATTATGATTTATAAATTATCAAGGGTTCATGAGAAGGGGGGGTGGGGAGGGAGGGTAAAAATGAGGAGCTGATGCCAGGGGCTTAAGTGGAGAGCAAATGTTTTGAGAATAATGAGGGCAATGAATGTACAAATGTGCTTTACACAATGGATGTTAAGTATGGATTGTGATAAGAGTTGCCCCTAATAAAACGATTAAAAAAAAAATTTCTCCTGGAAACCATGGCTCTCCGCCCCAACTTTTTATTGTGAATCGGGTGGAGGCTCCGGGTACGTGCTTTCATTGACAAAGCTCCTTAAGCACTAAGGGGGAAAAAACATCTCACGAAGCAACTCGGGAGCTCCGGGGCAGGATGCGCGCCCGCCCAACAGACCACACCGACCAAGGACCCCGGCACGCTCCCTCCAGGCCGGATCCTGCAGCGGCCTGCAGACCCAGGGCCCCAACAGCGGACACGCGCGAGAACAGACGCGAAGACTCGCGAGAACAGACGCGAAGACGCGCACGTACACACGCACAGCTGACGCTTGTCTTTCCTACGTCAGTTCCGTTTCCCCGGGGGTTGGCCCGGCGACTCACCCGAACTCCAAGTGACCCCCCGGAAGTTGGAAACGGCCGGCTCCAAGCGACCCTTTTCTCTTTCCCAGGAGGACGCAACGAGGATGCTCGCTGCTCGTCACCACCACGCCGACTCCCACTCCGGGGCGCCCGCCCCGGCGCTCTGCGCCGGCGGCCATTGCGCCGTGGGACCCGCCGGGCCGCGGCCGGAAGTGACGTTGTTCCCACCCCCTGCCAATCTCTGCACGAGGCGGCGCTAGCGATGTCGATCAAACTGGCACCTCGGCCCCGCCCACCGGCTCGGCTCCCCTGTTCCTCTAGCTGGGCCGCGGCCGGAAGTGACGTTAGTCCCACCCCCTGCCAATCACTGCACGAGGCGGAGCTAACGCTGTCGATCAGGCCGCGAGCAACAAGGTCAGCAGTTTGAATCCACCAACGGTTCCGTGGAATCGCGATTGATGTATGTGTGGATTGCGATAAGAGTCATATGAGCCCCTAATGGAAGGATTAAAAAACAAACAAAAACAAAATATAAAGCCATGCAAGAGGGTATGTTTAACTTCCCAATGGCTTACATCTAAAACTGCACAAACTTGAAGATGTGGTCTCGATCGTGGACAAGCCCCCAAATGTGACATTGTTTTGCAGGGGAATGTCAAGTTCTGCTGCCATCACCAAGGTTATCTTCCTTAGATCTTCTAGCAAGTTTCACCCCAGAAGCTTTCCCCGGCTTCAGAGATCAGCCACACATAAGCACACACATTCACACTGCAGCAGGAGAGCTAAGCAAAAGTCTCATTTTCACGTAGAATAGATACATCAAGGAGCAAAGCAGGTCCCCTTGAAACTCTGAGAAGGAGCCCTTCTTACTTTCAAAGGCGCGGTCAGAGGGGTAGAGGTTGCCGGTCTGCCGATGATCCTATGCCTTTCTAATGCGTTTGCTTCGTTAGTTCTGAGCTAGGTCTCTGGCATGGTTTCTTTCAAATGTGTCTCAGGCTGTAGCTCCAAATGAGGACGTCAGGGCCTTCACCCAGGCTGGTGCCAAGTTCAAGGCCTGATCCCGTAATCCGTTGTTCCCTTAGCAGGCAGATGCCCCTGTTCTCATCTAGCACCCAGAACAGTGGCGAATCCACGGTTGTTCATTGCTGTGGAGTAATTCCCACTCACCGGGAACCCACGCACAAGAGAGTGACACACAGCCCAACTGTGCACTATTTATACGGCCAATTGTAGATTGGATCCATCGGGTTTCACTGGCTGATTTTCAGTAGTAGATTACCAGGCTTACTGGAGATCCCCTTGCAGAGGGGTCTCAGAGAGGAGATGAGCCAGTCAGGGTGTGATGTAACAACGATGAAAAATACAACTTTCCTCTAGTTCCTAAATGTTTCCTCCCCGCTCCCACTACCATGACTCGAATTCTTCCTTGCAAGTCTGGCTAGACCAGAGGATGTACACTGGTACAGATAGGAACTGAAAATACAGGGAATCCAGGACGGATGATCCCTACAGGACCAGTGGTGTGAGTGGCGAAACAGGGAGGGTAGAGGGAGAGTGGGTAGGAAAGAGGGAACCGATTACAAGGAACTATATGTGACCTCCTTCCTGGGGGACAGACAACAGAAAAGTGGGTGAAGGGAGACGTCGGATAGGGCAAGATATGACAAAATAACAATTTATAAACTATCAAGGGCTCATGAGGGAGGGGGGAGCGGGGAGGGAGGGGAAAAATGAGGACCTAATGCCGGGGGTTTAAGTGGAGAGAAAATGTTTTGAGAATGAATGTACAAATGCGCTTTACACAATTGATGTGTGTATAGATCGCGATAACAGTTGTATGAGCCCCTAATAAAATGTTTAAGAAAAAAAAAGATTACCAGGCCTTTCTTCCTCGGTTGTCTTAGTCTGAAAGCTCTGAGGAAAACGATTCCGCATCATAGCAGCAGAAACTCTCTACTAACAGACCATCCGTGGGAGTATGACCAGCCCAGAGCAGGAATCAAACCCGGATCTCCAAAACGAGAGGCAAGGATTCTACCAGTAAAATATCACAGCATCTTCATGACTAACACAGGATATTGGTGTTAGGAGCCCTCATGTCGGTTCTGACCTGTAGTGACCCTATGCACGACAGCGCAACACTACCTGGTCCTGGGCCACCCTCTCAAACATACCTAGGCTTGAGCTCCTGGCTGCAGCCACTGTGTCATGCCATGCCATGCAGGACCTTCTTCTCCATTCCTGACACATAAGAACCCTGTCCATGAGTACGTCAATAAATCTCTCTCCTCAGTACCAGTGCAACAGCATTAAAAAGCAAACTAGAAAAAATTTTTCCTGAAATTCTTATGTTGTATGTAAAAAGTTGGCACGATTCCATACAAAATACAAATGGTTATAAAAAGAAAGTACCCTAACTTGATATTTATGAGTTTTATTAGAATGTTGTAGGGAGGTCTTGGTCTAGTTCTTATCCTCAATTGCTAATCTTCTTGGGAGAAAGAATTCAGACAAGACATACAAAATGTAGCAAAGCATAAGAAAGTTTTGTTGAAAGTTCATCAAAGCATAGAAAAGTTTTAGTAAGCTGATGGACATTCAAACGGAAAGCTCAGGAGAGAAGTCCCAGCTCAGGGTCCCCTTTTATAGTCCCCCCCCCTTTCCTCAATCCCCAGAATGTGTGCTGCTCTCGAAGTTCAAGAAGTTTTATTTGGGGGTGTTTTGCTGGTCAATTTTGACATGTTCTCAGTGTTTATTTATTTGTTTGTTTCCCTTTGGGATTGTTTAATTAGTCACCTTTTCATTCCCAGTATTGAGCTCCCTTTCTCCTCCTCCCATTGGCTGTAAACTGTATAACCCCCTAACGATAGAGGCGTTAATCAGTGTGTACACTAATAAGGACCTTGTGCACCCTACTCCCTTCAGTTGAACAGGGTATGTTAGTCATTACTTTTGCACTAGAACCCAGCAGAACTTTTTTTAAAAATTGTTTTATTAGGGGCTCATACGACTCTTATCACAATCCATACA